ACTATAGATAGTTGTACTATTAAGAATATGTTACCACTTATGTCACCTTCCAGTGCCGCAGCTTTTCCAAATAAATGAATTACGAATCAAAACACTGGATTCGGTACCCTTTTCGAAGTTGAAATCCAAAAATTCAGCCAAAAACGACTTCCTAATTTCAAAAGTCGAAAAACAATCTAGCCACAACTCACTCATCCATTTCAAAGGTAAGCTAACGCATGCTAAACAGCCAAAAGCATCATAAAGCTCAATGTCCTACGAAAACGGCGCCACCGCTAGCTTTTTGAGCGAATGAGAGTAAGTGTACGCAAAAACTTAGCATACAACCCACAGACAGATGAACCGGATACTGCTGCAGGATCACTTAAGCTATTCGCCAGATACCCAGGAAGTGAAACGGGGACGGATAACAGAAAGGGATGTGTTCACTTCGTCTGATCTTCTTATAAAAAAAACCTACCGGAATACCCAAAACGTTTGAAAAGTACTTTATAAAACCTAAAAATACGAAATTCTTGAAATTAACGAAATTATCTTACACTTATCAGATGCGATCAGCTTCGGGAATGCATCCAACAAGCCTTCCAAGCGAGCCTTCGTCATGTCCGAAATGAAAACCCTAGCCAGAAGTGCTGCAAAAAAAAAAAAGAAAGTCACATCGATAAGTTAATATTAGCCTAATATACACTTGGAAAAAACTTACTAACGCAATTTATAAACCAAATTCAAAAAATAAAAAACAAATGAATATTCAAAAAGTTAAAAAGAACGTGTGTGCACGTATTTTTGCGTTTACAGCTAAGGGATGAAACAGACAAGAACTTGCTTTATTTGGGCATATTTATATCTGTTATACGACGTTCTACCCTTCATATGTAGCACTTTTGATTCCAGTTCTAATTATATGCCTTCCGCCGTGCTATAACAAAAGAGCCGGTAAATTCATTATCTTTCACTTCAGGTTTACCTCGAATATCTAGCATTTCCCCTTTCAGTTCCAATTACACTCCTCTTGCCGTCCAGCAAAAACACAGTCAGTAACTTCATTCTTCTTCGTTTCAGGCCTTCTCATTCACATAATTCCATGAAGAGACGCTCGGGCAGATTTCTCCTTTGAACTGGCAAAGCTCCCTACGTTCCTTTTCAATTCCGCATGAGTACCAACCGATAACCCGCTTCGCCCATACATTTTCCAAGCACCATTCGGTGTTTCCTTATCCATCTCTTATTTGAACACTGCCCCTTTGCAACATTTTGGGTAATCCACCTTGTTCATCTATTACTTGCGGGCCAAACAATAATCTGTTCAGTACATCTTCCTTCTTTCTACGCAAGTACCAATCGATCATTCATTTTACCCATTCACTGTTTTGCGTGTGTACCATTCAATAATCCGCTCCGTGCAGACTCTGTCTGCGTGAATGCCAAAAAAATAAACCTCGCTGTCCAGCCACTGTCTTTCTTCCTGGCTCAGGTCTTTCTGGTCTGCGCTATCTTGAGAGATTTGTAGTAGTACGTTGGAAATGTGTTGTAACTTGCTGCTGTTTATCAGAGTTCGTTCCACAGTTCACTGAGTGACTGCTAACTTTTCAGTAATCGTAGTATTCCAGGCATTATTTGCACTCCTCCTACCCGCATACTGCATTCGGCCAGTGTTTACAGCTAAGGCATGAAACACCAAGACCAAACTGATTTGGGATACCGCCATTCCGACACAAGTCCCGATAGTCCACCGGCGTCCAGACATTGTTGCCTTCGACAACGGGGCCTCGGAAATATTTGTGTTCGAGGTAAGCGTTGCCCATGCTGCCGGTCTCGAGAGTCAGCGAAGGCTCAAAATTAACCGGTATACGGTTAACTCCACCCTAATGGAGGACGAAACACGACCTGTCTTTCCTCCGGGAGTTAACTTCGTAGCCGATCTAGGGAGCCAGTATGGTCGTAAAGTGACATCCGAACATATCTTCTTGCGCATAATACTTAAACTAATCCCTTATCTCCTATTCTATTATTTTATTGCAAGCAGCAACTGAACTAGCAAAACAATGGGCTAGAAAGTGATACTTTCATACAGATTTTGTGGCACTTCCTTATCAGTGACAGTAAATTA